AGTGTCTTTTATTCCAATGAGGTGATTCTTGGTGGGCTCCTGGATGGGGACTGGTCATAATTAGAAGCTTGGAATTTTCAGCCATACCTCCCAATCTCCAGAAACCGGAGAAGGGCTAAAAATGGTGGTAATTATCTGTCATGCCTATGTGACGAAGCTTCCATAAACATCCCCAAAGTATGGGGTTTGGAGAGCTTCTGGGCAGGTGAACACATTTGGATACAGGCAGGGTGACACGCCCTACCACCATGGGGACAGAAGATCCTGTGCTCTGGACCCTCCCAGGTCTCACCTAATTACCTCTTCATCTGGCTGTTCATCTGTCTTCTTTGTCATATCCTTTAATAAACTGGTAAACATAAGTGTTTCTATGAGTTCTGTGAGTTGGTCTAGCAGATCAGCTGAATCTGAGGATGGGTTTGTGGGAACCTCTGATTTGTAGCTCAGTCGTCAGATGTTGTGGGTCACTCTGGGGACCTACTACTTGTGACTGGCATCTGAAATGAGGGCGGTCTTGTGGGACTGAGCTCTTAACCTGTAGCACCTGACGCTATCTTGAGGTAGATGGAGAGTGTCAGAATTGAGTTAAACTGTGGGACACCCAGCTGGTGTCACAGAATATTGCTTGGTGTGGAGAAACCTCACGCACAATTGGTGACTAGAAGTGTCAGAAGTAAAGAGAGTGTGGGGGTGGTGAAGGAGTAAAGGAGACACCCAGGAGGAAACACTGAAATTTTTCCAACATGGCACTAGCTTGGCTTTAACACCTCTCAGCTCTTGGCAGAAATCAGGGAGTTGGTTTGCCACCAACCAAAATTCAAGTAACACTGTTCTAAATCTTTGTTCCCACAGCAACTAAGTGAGAGAATGAGAGGAATTATAAAAGAGCCACATGGTTTATGATGATCCCAACTTACCAGGAGAAGGCTGAGTCTCAGGGACATTTGGTCACTTGTCCAAGGACTCAGGTCACCATTTCTCGCCCATCTCCAACTTAACATTAAATGAAGAAAATCACACCAATAGAGGGGTCCTCTGCCATGTAAATGGGAGATAGCTACAGACAGGGAGAAGAGAAGAGGAGGCATAGAAGGTAGAAGAAAGAATGAGTCATGGAGGAAAGCAAGACTCGTTGGTTTAGGAGACATGTTTCAGAAGTTACGTGAGGAAGGAAACTGGTTCAAAAAGGGAAGAACTTTCTAGTGCCAAGGCTGCAAGTGGCTATGTCAGAAAACAGCAAGAGGACTACCCCCTCTGTTAGTTTTTATTTGCTTAAGATACAGTCTTTCCTCCTTGGTGTTGGCTTTTCCCAAATATGTAGGGTTTCCTGACTACATGTTCATGTTTGGGGACAGAATTCTGTTACAAGCTGAGGTACAATGACTCGTAAGATGCTTCCTGAAATCCCAGTATGTCTTCAGACAGCTGGGAGAGGCGACTTATTCTCCTAAATGGCCTCCTCCCCCTCCAATCACTACAAGCCTTGAGCTTTTCGAGGGTGCCAACATGGGAGAGGGGGGGTGCTGTAGGTGGGAACTGAACCAGATGAAGAGATTGAATGTGAATCTAGATTAAATCTGGGAGGAAATGTTTGCACTTGTTATTGGGATGTGATTTACTTTTGGGCCAGCAGCAGGTAGCCTAAGCCCTCATGCTGAGCTTAAGGCTTGGCCACTGGAGGTTCAGCCACTCAACTCAGGTTAGAGACCCATCAGACCACATAAGGCGCTTGTCACAAAGGCAGATCTCCCGGTGTGATTCTTCAGGTGTGAGCTGATTCTCCTGCTAGAGATCTATGGGCTACATTTTGCCAAACACTGAGCTGGTGCGTCCCAGGGAAGTGTGGACAGGGGGGAAACGTGAGGGATGCTCTCAGCCAGGATATGGGCGTGTGCCCAGGAGGCACCAGGACTCCTTTCCATCGGACATTCCCGAGAAGGAAGGAGGTCAGCCGGGAGTTCCAGTGGCATGAGATCACAGACTCAAAGACATGTAGAATCGCAGAAACATAGGCTCTTATTCATAATGGAATAAAGAATCGTGAAATTCTAGAATGCAGGGCTCAGTTGGGAGAGCATGGGACTCTTGATCTCAGGGTTGTGAGTTTGAGACCCACACTGGGCATGGAGCCTTCTTGAAAAAAATAAAATAATAATAAAAATAGAATGTATTTGCAGTAGAGCTTAGCAGTTAAGAATAAGTCGTATTTGGAGTTTGACTTTGCTTCATTAGCTGAATAACTGACACAGAGTTACTTCATCTCTCTGAGCTTCTTTCCTCATTCATTGAATGGGCATATCCAGAAGTATAATATAATGCTCTCCAGCACTGTTGTGACATATAAATGAGCGAGAGCGTTCAAAGGACATGGCATTGAGTCTGACACAGGGTAAGGGCTCCAGATGCTCTTATTATCATTAGCAAGGTCAGAGGATCTTAGAACCAAAAGTGATCATGGAGATTATCGAGTGAGTCAGGTGGCCATGTAAGTGACTCCCAGGGGAGAGGGATCAATAAAGGAAGAAGACTCCCTTGGTTCAGCCTCTCCCACTGGGGTGCTCCCCAGCCGAGGGAAGGGGCACTGTGGCTATCAAGGAAGTTTGGAGGGCCAGCTCCTTGAGACTGTTCAAACCGGACAATGTCATCTTTCTTTGTTTCCTGATCCCCCCTTTGCAGAGCTCACATGCCAGGTGTTTGTGGGCACCAGCAGGCTCAGCCGGGGAGAGGGGGGCTGTGTCCTCCCTTTCCCCTGCTCCGGTGTTTAATCAAAACAGTATTCAAAATACGATTCTGGGAGATTATATTGGGAGATTTGCAGGAGGCTGTCAGTGGGGGCAGAGGTGGTGGGAACAGATTGCCACTGGGGGCCCGAGGCTGGGATAATCGCAGGCTCAGACGTACCTTTCTCAGGCCTCCACCCTTATTCCTGGAGCTCCCCACCAGCAACGGAGCAGACACCGCACCAGGATGGAGCACCAGCTCCTCTTGGTATCTTACAGCTGGGGAAACTGAGAGGGGAAGGGGCGTGTCCACAGCCACAGCAAAGCAGCCATGGCACTGAGATGCTCAAGCTCTTTTCTGAGATTCCAGCCACTCTTTTCTGCCCTTTCTATACCCACTGTCTGCTGCCAGGCTCTAGGCCTGGATCCTGGGACAACCCTGGGCTGCAGGCTCCTGCTCAGAGTTGGGAGAGGTGGGGAGCACCTAGGCCTCATAAACAGGGGCTGGGGAGACGACTTCCTGAGGTCCTGGCAGGGGAGGCAGGCAGATCCAAGGGGGCCTCCTTTCCCAGGACTCACTGTTCTATAAAAGGCTGGACGGCTGGTCACAGAGTGCAGGTCAAAGCTCTCTTGTCCCCCAGGATCAGCCACATGGCCTGGGGCTTAGGTGCATCTCTGCTCTCCCGCCTTCAGTGTCTGTCTCCAGATGCTGACTCAGTGTGGTGTTAAGGGTCCCTTTCCCTTCCATAAAATGGCTAGCTGGAGCCCCACTCCCAGCCAGGGGCCCTCTGAAGGTGCTTCTGCAGACTCCGCAGCCTCTGGAGGGGTCTACCTGGCTCCCCAGGAGGGGGTGGGGTCGAGAGCGCCTTGAAAGAAACCTCCAGCTAATGCTCTTTATTACAAGCGTTAATCCGGCAAAGCCGACTGGAAATAATGTTTATCTTTTCGCAGTTTAATTTCCCGGACCCTAAGCCGCGGGTCAGTGAGGGCGACTGGAGGTCCCCGGGGAGTTGGGGGGAAGGAGCAGCTGTTGCCCAGAAGCAAAGCGGAAAGCAGGAAAGGGATCACCCAGGGGAAGCGAGGGAAAGGAGCATGAACCGGAGCTGGGGTCCCTCTCCACCACGGATCCCCGTGTGACCCTGAGCCAGTCCCCTGCCGTTTGGCCTCAGTTTGCTCATCTGAGGAAGAGGTTTGTATTTTGTAATTCGTGATCTCTAAAGTCCCTCCCGACCCCCATCATTCTATTAAAAAAGAAGACAGCGTGGGGCTGGGAGGTGGCTTGCCGGCCGTTCCCCACTGTTTTTCCAACCGCTCTTTCTCCGCAGCCTCCAAGGGGGTCTTACAATCTCTCCCGAGGAGGTGAAGACTCGGGCCCTTCCTGCCCCAGACGTCACTGCCAGGCCCTGGTTTGGAAGCCGTCACCCGGCCTGGGTGGCCCAGGCTGGAGCCCAGCGGTGGAGACGCAGCTCCCCCAGGATCCGGTCGGCGGGTGCACACCCCGGCTGTCCTCCTCCTGCCTTCCCAAGCCCGCATCAGCTCCCCGCCGCTCCCCTCTAGAGCCCCATGCCGGGTTCACCTCCCTCTCTCCCCACGAGCAGGGGCCAGGTCCCTCGCTGGCTCAAGCCCGAGGCCACCAGGCCGGGGACGCGAACTCGCGCCGGGCGCGGGCGGCTTCCCAACCCTCCTCCCCCCAGCCCAGTTCCAGACGCTGCTTGCCGCGGGGCACCGAGTCCCCTTCCCAGCCCGTCAGCTCCCATTGGTGGGCCTGTACCGGAAGTGATTGCTGACACTTGATTAAATGGAAAGAATGCTCCCTCTTGTCTCCCAGGGACCCAGCAAGCTGTCACCCTTTGCCATTTGGTCCGACGGGAGGAGCGCGGGGATCCCAGCTGGGTGCCAAGGGTCGGCCAGGATTAGCCCCATCGCCCCTCCTCCCAGTAAACTAAACCCAAGTAGGAGCCCGGAAACATACAGTTTCCAAATATCCCGACTGCTCCCCCACCTCCGACCTCCCAGTTTGTGCCCCCCTCCTCCAACGCCCACGAATCCGCCAGACGTCTCCCGGCTGGGCGAGTTAGGTACAAGGCAGCTTCAGAGGGGCTGCGCGCTAGGCGCCGCGGCCTTGACCGTAACCTTGCCAGTTCCTCTCCCTGCCCTGGAAGGGACTGAGGTTTTGAGGCTCACGCAGCCCCGTCCCCGGAATCCCTGGCCGCATTCCATCCTCCCCTCCACCTTGGCCTCTCCCAGCGCCCCTGGCACAGACACGTCACACAGGTGGGGTTTGGTTTGATTATTTTTGAGGACACAAGGAATGGGGAGGAGGAGAAGACCCAGGTGGTCCTTAGGGGCCAGGTTAGCGTTGAAATTACACAGTGAAAGGGGGCGGGGTGGGGGTGAGCAGGAGAAGGAGTTGCTTCAGACCCTGTATCAAGAGGAGGGAGGGAGACTTGGTGTACCGAGTGGGTGCACAGGGCAGACTCGCCCAGCCTTCCCACTTGGCCTTCCCCAAGGTGCCCTGGCGCCACCGCCTCCCAGCGGGTCTGACGCGTTGCACGTCCGCCTGCCACTCCCAGCTCTGAGTGCAAGAAGAGCCGGTAGAAGGGTTTCTGTGTGTTTTGTCTGTCTCTTAGGTGAAGTGAGAGCCCTCCCAAGCCCCTGGCCAGGTCTCCCAGCTTCTGACCATGGAAGTGAGTTCGAAAAGTAGGGCTTCTTTCCAAGATCCTTCCGCAAATCGCAGCCATTGCGCTAACCTGCTGAGAGAGGAAAGGTTGATTAAAACCCGAAGGGCCGCTTGGTGGCGATTTCCAGGAAATTGGAGGTCGCTGGTGTCTCATCCGAAGGGAATTCAAGGTCTAGAAGCAATTTGCTTGCCAGAAGGAACTTTCGGACCCCGTTATGTGTAAATTCAAATAACAGCGTCACCCAGTTTTCTCAGCCAGTAGCTAATCCTGAGAGAAATTACTACAAAGAGCAGAATCTGACAGTAATTGCTGGAGGCTGCTTGATGCTTGGGGGAATGTCCCTTTGTGGGGTACAATTCCCTTCCACCAGGCACAGCCAGGGCCGGAGACACTGATTGGCAGTCACCCCCTGCAGGCGGTGAGCTCTGGGGGGTGAGTGCTCTCCAGGGACAGCACCAAGCCTGGGCTACACTCCCCAGGGGGTTTAGGGGGCCTCGGGCAGGGCTGCCCGCTGGACTTCAGCATCGGCCTTAAACCAATTTCATGTCTCTGGCCCGTCCCCCCAGACTTCCTAGAAAGCCCTGGTTCCTGCCCAGCCCTAGCAAAACTCTTGGTAGAAGAAGGGCAGGGGCCAGCTGGCCTCCTCCAAAGGACAGGCAGGGGACAAGGGTGTCTGAGCCAGAAGGTCATGATGGTGCCCATCTGGCCCATTCCGCAGAACGAGGGACACCAGGGCAGAGAGCTAGGTTGCCCATCTTCTCCATGACTTTCTAAGTGATCCTAGGTAAGTTACCGTCTCACCCTGAGCTTCTTACTATTATTTGGTTTTAAAAGGAGGGGGGCCCAGTACTTTTAGTTCTAAGCTGCTGTTTCAAGGAGAGCTGTGGGACAATCGCGCTCCGGGTCTGAACACCAGCATGCGGGAGAGGCAGAGAGGCGGTGCGCTGGCTGGGACTGACACACCCCAGCGCCGTTGGGGACCCACTACCTTCTGCTCCAGACGGGTACTGGTAGGGCACTGCGGGCTCCCTCCGCCGCGGGCACGGCGCACAGTCCATCGGCAGCCCCTGCGGGGCAAAGAGGCGGTTTCCAAAGGCTTTGGCTCCTCGGGAAGACTCTGCGTACGCGGAGTCTCTGGGGACGGCGGGCCGGTCGCCCGCGCCTGCAGGCTGTCCCGGAATCAGACGGCACTCGGGACTTCGCGGCCTGGGAGGGGTCGGAGCTGCACCTTCGACCGCGCCGGCGGCGGCCGCAGTGTGCGCCAGAGACCAGATGCGCGGTTTCTCGCTGCAGGGGAAGTGCATGGTCAACGTGGGGCCCCCGGGCTCGGCCCGCAGGAAGTCAGCTTCTCCCGACCCCAGGGGCTCCGGGAACGAGAAGGGGCGCGCCGCCAGGCCGCACTCCCGGGGCTGCAGCCGGGCCTCCCGAGCGGCGGCGCAGTACGCGGGCAGCGACTGCGAGTCTTTATGGAACTCAGCCAGCCTGTCCGCAGCTGTGGCCACTGCCTCCTGTTCTTCGGCCTCCTCCTCCTCCTCTTCCTCCAGGTCTTCCAGGTCACTCAGCCGGAGCCCTCGAGCCTCCTGGCTGGCAGTTCCATCTGCAGGAGGTCAGGAGTGAGTGAGAAAAGCCCCAGGCCCCAAGGGAAATCCGCGGGAGTGCCCATCCCCGAGAAGCTTTTAGCAAGATGGCTCTGCACTGAGGGCATTCTTGGCGTTATGCACCAGGCTGACCCAACCCTCTCTTACAGCTGCCCCAGGGCTCCGGCTTGCCCCTGGGAAAAGAATTGAGGCCCTAGCTCTGTCCCCACTCCTTGGAAGACTCCTCCTTTCCGGTGGAAGGAAACCACCACTTTTCACTGCCTAGGACCTGGATCTCAGTTTCTCCACCATAAATCAGACAGACACCCAAGGGGACTTCCCCACCCCCCACCCAATTTCAACACCCACAGGTAGGTGGTGTGTATTATTTAATTCAGCAAATATTTACTGAGTGCCATCAATGTGCCAGACATCGTTAGGCATTTAGGTCTTAGGAATTTAGGGAATACAGCAGTAAGACACTTTTTAGTGGAGCTGCTGTTCTCCAAAGGGGCAGACAGGCCTCAAGTACCTTCCCATAGTGGTAAGTATGGCAAACGAAATACAATAGGCCGATGTCATAGGGAGTAACTGGGGAGCTAAGTTAGCCTGGGTGGCCAGGAGAGGCTTTTTCCAGCTCACACTTCAGAAGTCAGAAGAAGCCAGTTAGGTAGAGAATTCCAGGCAGAGGGAACTGCCCAGGCAAAGGCCCGGAAGTCTGGGGTGGGGGTGGGGGGCGGGTACAAGTGCAAGGGTAAGTAAGGGAGTACCACCCTAGAAGCTGTCCCACAAGGCAGCTGCAAAAGTGCAATGGGCCTGATAGATGGCTGGGAAAACCCTAAGCGCGGTGGTGAGCATTTTTGGTACCTTTGGTGTCACAGTTCAGGCAGCCCAGGGACTCCTCTGTTCCACTCTCAGTCTTCCTCTCCTCGCTGCCTTTGTTCTTGGGCGCCCACGTCATCTTGTTCTCCTTCTTGAGGCGCCGGCGCGCGTTGGCGAACCAGGTGGACACCTGGGTGAGGGTCATCTTGGTGATGATGGCCAGCATGATCTTCTCGCCCTTGGTGGGGTAGGGGTTCTTGCGGTGCTCGTTGAGCCAGGCCTTGAGCGTGCTCGTGGTCTCCCGGGTGGCGTTCTTCCGTCGGCCCGTGCCGCTCAACTCCACTGCTCCATACCTGGGGGGAGAACCTGGCTCACAGTTCTGGGTCTGAGAACCTGGGGCTGCAGGCAGGAGACAGTCTGAGGCCTGGAAATGAGATTCAGCGCTCCTCCCTCCTCATGCACGCCCCCCCCCCCAAACCCTTCCCAGGCTCTTCCCAGAGGGGCCCTGTGGCAACAGAGTGGGGAGGACTTGCAAGGCCGGCTACCAATGCACCCCGTGTCTTACCGTTCATACTGGTACTGCCCCAGAGTCGGCTCATAGGGATAATAGGCTCCTGGGTGCGCCAGGCCAGGTGTAAAATTCCCTGCAGCCTCTTTAAATTCATACTGTGGATTCTGGTGGGGGTGGGGTGGGAAGAGAGAATTCAGGACAACATTTGGGGAAGAGGCTGGGTGGCGTAGTTGCTAAGGGTGTGAACCCTGGAGTAAAAGTCTGGTTCAAATCCCAGGACCACCACTCCCATTGGCTATGTGATCTTGGGCACAGTTGTTTAACTTGCTCTATGCCTCAGTTTCCCCTAGGTAACTGGGACTAACAATAGTACCCGTAGGGTATTGAAGAAGAGCATTTGGCAGAATTCCTGGTGCAGACTAAGCAGTAGTTAAATATTAGCTCTTAACCAGTATTGTTACTACTTGTGACTCCTCCCCAACTCCCTCCCTACCAGCTGGGGAACTTCCCTGCCTTACTCTCTCCTTCCAGAGCGATTTCCTGGCCCTTTGTATCTTTGTGACTTTGGGCAAGGTATCTGAATCCTTCTACATCTCAACATCCTCATCCCAAAACTGAGACTTGCCTACCTCACAGAATTAATAGAAACACAGATGTGTTTTAATCAGAATGGCGTTCTGCAAAGTGTAAAATGCTGCAAAGATGTGTTTTTTCCACCCCCCACCCCCCACCCCCGGCTATACACAATCCTACCCAATTCCTTCCCTGGGAGTTTTGCCTCCTTCCAAGATTTTCCCTGGAGATGTCACACTGAGTTTTCCCCTTTGCTGCAGTTCATGCCCCCCAGGCCGGACGGGTCCTGGCTCACAGACCCAGGCTCCGTGCGGTGTACTCACCAGCGCCCCGTACAGCGTGGGCGGCTCTGGGCTGTAGGGCAGGTAGCCTGGGTAGCTCGGAGCAGCTGCGGCGGCGGCGTATGGGGATCCATAGATGCCCAAGGCCGCGCTCAGCTCCGGCCGCGCACTGCCCAGCAGCCGACTGTCGTAGGATGCGCAGCAGAGAGCGGCCGCCGGGGTGGAGCCTGAGGCCACATCTGGGACGGAGCGCGGGGCGGATTCGCAGCAAGTGGCGCTGGAACTTGCAGACACCAGAAACTATGGGGGAGAGAGAGGTGCACTGCCGGATCACTTCCTCATTCAACATTAGCTACATGCCACCGTGTGCGGAGCATTCTGCTGGGATGGGAATTATCTGAAGACGCAATTTATCCAAACCGCCCTTGTAGATACTCCTAAAACGTTGCTAAGGCTCCAGAGTCCCAGGGGTCCAGGCGATGGCAACGTTCTGAAAGGCGAATTACAGGAGCCCAACTCCGCTGATTCCCTCACCGATCCCTCCTCCCGTCCCCCATCATAGGGATCCTACAAAGGCAGAGCTAGAAGTTAGCCTTAGAGACCACCATCACGTCTTACTCCTGCTCCCATTTTATAGACGGGGAATGAGGCCCAGGGAGACTTGTGCCAAGATCACAAGGCGGGTCAGAGGTCACGTTGCAACCAGACCCCACAATCTGGGCAGAAGCTGGAGAAACAGTGGTGGTTGTCCCCAGAATTTCCCCAGGAAACCCCTGTCACTGCACAACACCCACCCTAATCTGGAAAAATCGAAGGAACCGGAAGCAGAGAGCTCGGGCCCGCTCAAAGAAGGGAGAGAGGATAAGAACAGAAGTCAACAAGCAAACAACTGAAAAATGGTGAGGAGGGCTCTCGGGGTCACCTCGGATATCTGTACAATAAGGCGGCCTGTCTGGAAGATCTCGAGATCCCACCCACCTCGCCGAGCTCATGGATGGTGCCCAAGTTTCGGGTCACACGATTTTCCAGCTTGCACTGGGGGAGTGGAACGTTCTCGGACAGTGACTGGGGGTGTCGGAGGGGGTCTGTGGTACATCGTACCTGCTCAGTCTGGTCTCCCCCGAGACTCGTGGGAAAGGAGGGCGCTCAGCGGCGGGCGCGTGCACTGGGCACCCGCCCCCTCCCCACCCCGTCTGTCCCCATCCCCCATGGAAGCACTTCTTACCTGGGAAGCGCTGCCGTACGGGTGTCCAAAGTGCGGGAAGGACATGGTGGCTGTCCCTGGACCGCCTCCTTCTTCTCTTGCGAGTTCCCGCCTCAGCCCCGCGATTCTGAGCCTCCAGCCGTGCGCCGCCTCGGTTCCTTACACGGCTGCGGGTGCCCAGCGCCGGGTCCTCCGCCCGCTTGGCACGACTGGAGGCAGAGCCGAGGGCAGTCCGGCTGCCGAGCCCTGCGCTCCAGAAGGCGCCCCTCCGGCCCGCGTGGTCCGGAAGACAGAAGGGCCCATGGATGGGCAAGGAAAGGGAGAGGATGCGGGTTCCCAAAGTCGCGCTGTGGCGAGGCAAGGTGAGGCGCGGCGCGGGGCTGTGCGGCTCCCGAGGTGTCCCAGTCCAAGGTGGCCAAAGGCTCAATGTGACGTCACGGTAATCCCGGGCCGCCAGGCGGGCCCCCGGGCCCTGGGGCCCCGGGCCACCAAGCGTGCCAAGCGCAGCCAGCCCGTGCGCGCGCGCGCACTCTCACCCACACTCACACTTGTTCTGGGAGGTTTGTGCTGCTGGTGAGGAACGTCAAAGACCCCGACCCTCTCAGATGGGCGCTGGATCCTACCCCTTTTCGCCTGAAGCTCACGCGCGCGCGCGCGCACATACGATCCCTCCAAATTACCCGCGAGAAGTAGGAGAAACGCCTCCCACTGTGCGGCGCAGGCCCCGGGCGCAGCTCGTTTACCTCCTCCCCTGCGGCCCGGAGGAGGAGAGAAGCGAGCCGGGCCGCGAGGGGGGAGAGAATACAAAAAGGAGAGATAAGAGAAAAAAAGAGGAGAAAAGTGGGGGAGAAAGGCAAGAGGGAGGAGGAGGAGGGGAGAGGAGAGAGATGAGTCTAAGTGAACAGAGGCGCGCGGGGGAGGGGAGGGAACAGGGGTGGGCGAAGGCTGGGCGGAGGTTGCACACTGGCAGGTGGAGGAGAGCGGCGGCTCGGGGGAGAAGCCTCCTGCCCGGCTCCCCCGCCCCTCCGCGGCGGGAAAGTTTGTTCTCGCCACAGGCCCCGCACTCGTTGGGGCCGAGCCTGGGCGGCGTCGGTGGGTCCCACGGGCCCGCGCGTCTTTGTCCTCCGGAATCTGGTGCTCCACCCCAGCCTCCGCAGGACTCCAGCTAGCTCCAGGCTCTTCGAGCCCTGGTCTTTGCCAGGGTCTCGACCCTGGGGCTTCTCTGCAGTCTTCTGGCCCTCCAACAGGCCGAATAGCGCCCCCTCGAGGCCATGGTTCCGTTCCCCTCGGACTCCGCCTGGAAACGCGCTCAGTCTGACCCTTGGTATCTGCAGGCGGCGGGCGAACCCCCCTAGACGTCTCCTCTGAAGGCGAGGCTTGGCCGCTTCCTGCGCGCCGACCGCTGTGTCCACCGGGGAGCCGGGGAGCCACAGGAAGGCGCCGGGGCCGAGCTGCAGCCGCTGCGCTCCGCTGGGGGTGGCGCTGGCGAGCCGCGGTTCAGCGCGCGGGGACGGCGGCCGGTGCCCCGCGCTCCGTCGCGACGGCTCGGGGTTGGGCCCAGCGATCTGACCACCCGCCTCCAGCCCAGGGGTCCCCAAAGGGCCGGTGAGGGGCGGAGGAGCTCGTCTGTGCCTGGAGGGGGCTGCGTCCTCTAGGCCTGGCTCCGGACCCGCGGCCGCTAGTTTGTGAGCGCTGTAGATTTTGCGCAACCGAAGGCTCAGTCCCCAGGCCGGGAGCCAATGCACCGAGGGCCGCCAGCCCGCGACGTTGGGGTGGGGGCGGGGGCAAAAAGGGGCATCTAGTCTAGTGGGGGGAGGTCTTCGGGGGATGCTGCCGATATCCGAGTGGAACTCAGGCTTTGGGGTTGGCAGGTCGGAAACCTCAGAAAGTCCCGCCTTTCCCTCATAGGGTCAGGGCACTTTACAGTGTACAAAACGCACTCCCAGGTCCTCGCTGCACCTTCCCGCAGGAATCCCGGGGGGACTGGTTCAAAGGCCCAGTTGTATTTTCTAGTTGAAACGCAAGAACGTGTGGCCCAGAGGTCACGGAACAACCTGGGTCTCTGTCCTGCGTTTTTGCGAGGCGAAGGGGAAGCCCAGTGACCAGGCAAAGTCTAGGGTCCTGGCCCAGGATCCGTGGCCGCGAGTTTTCCTCTGGAACCTTGCAGAGGGAACCGGTAGGCCCCGCAAGCCAGCTACCTCTTTGGAACAACACTGGCTCCCCCCGCCCTACCCCAGTACAGATGGTGCAGAACGGGCCAGGCTCTGCAGACCTTGCAAACCACACACTCCTCCGCCTGAGATTATTGATAGGAGGACAAGCTTCATTCTAAATACTAACGAACCCAGGGAGGTTTCCTGGAGGCCGCTGCTGAGTGTCGTTACCTTGGAGAAACCTTGCGTTCAACCCGGGAAACTCCCAGTTAGAAAAAGAATTATCGTTATGGCCGGATTGATTTAGGGATAAAAAGGCCCTGTAATAGATAGATCCCTTGATTTTTTTCAAAATGCACTTTGGAGCTATCCACACATTTGCTGCGTGGATACATCTAAGCTTTTTTTTTTTTTTTTTTTAAGTAAGAATTGGAGAGAATTCATTAAATTAGTCCGTTGGGGAAGATTACTGCTAATTAATTAATTGCAAACATTTCCAGAGGGAAGGTATGTCAATTGTAAAGTAATAAAATTAGATAGTTGAAATACTTACTCAGCAACTTTGATCACCCATTCGTTCCTAAGCAGATTTTTTTTTTTTTTTTTATGACAGAAAAATGGGATGGTGGTGAAGAAAAAGCATTAGTTATGTCCCCTGGCGATCTGGTTGCAAAGGAGAAGCTACCATATAGAATGTATTGATTTTTCGCTGATTTATAAGACCTCTGCGGTATCAATGCTGTGTGCAGGGCCTCCAGGCCTACCTCTTGTCTTTGCTCTCTAGGATTAGAGAAAAAAAAACAAGATTTTTCAAGAGGAAAAAAAAACAAGAGAGAGAGAGAGAGGAAAAGCAGTGGAGAAGTAAATTGGGAAGGTAGGACTCTGATGGTTCCTGGGTGTTTTTCTTCTCATGTAGAAAAGGAAAACAAACCAAAGAGCAGGTTTTATATGAAGGCAGCTTTCTATTGTCTTCAAAGTCACTTTACCATATCAGAGTGTCTTGGGAAGGAAGGCTGCCACTTGCAGGCATGGGAGACCTTGAGTTCTTTCTTTCTCAGGGAGACACTAGGCCCACAGCAAACTGACTTGGTGCCCCTGGGGTTTGATTGTGACCCCCTGGAGCGTGAAGTGGGGTTCCCTAAAAACAGTTCGTATGAAGTGTGTCCTCTTCCCATTATTTTCAGAGTCTCATCACAAAACAGAGCCAGTGGGTTAAACCAATATGAACCTTTGTCTGGCAGAGACCTCTGGTAAAAACAAGTCTTTCTTGGAAAGTCTGGTTCAAGGAAGTGGTCACTGAATCTGTTCTCATCCTCCTGACTGTGGACAGGCACTCACTTTGGCAGCTGAGGGCTCTGGCTTTCTTTGCTTTGTTTAGTGCTGATTAGTTTAGTTTTGGAAAAGATGCCCAATTGTGTGTGTATGTCCACCTAGAATTGTACTGAAGCAGGGAGACAAACTTATGAAGTGCAGACCCTCCCAGTTATATTTGAGGGAGTCATTCCACCCAAAGTATTTTACACAAATGGTACAATCCTTTTGTTGGATTATGCAACATGGCCTGATATTTCCTCTAGCTGCTCATTAAAACAAATATGAATAAAATAAATAGTCAAAGTCCTATTTGGAGCATGGAGAGTACTCGTCCACATTGTTTAGTTGAAGTTCACGTTGCTCTGCTTTAAATTCACTGAAGGTCTTGAGCAGGCAGAGTAAAGGATGTGTCTTTGAGCAAGAAACAGACTCTTAATTATAGAGAACAAACAGGTGGTTTTCAGAGGGGGGTGGGTGGGGGATGAGGGAAATAGGTGATGGGGATGAAGGAATGCACTTTCTGTGATGAGCACCGGGTAACGTATGGAAGTGTTGAATTTCTATATTGTACACCTGAAACTAATATCACACTGTATGTTAACTAATTGGAATTAAAATAAAAACTTCAAAAAAAAAAAAGGCATGTGTCTCTGACAATAAACTTGAATTCAGCACACACGCACACACACACACACAGGAATCCTATTGTATTATTTTGGGTTAAATGTCCCTCATTTCCTGATGTTTTATAAAGACAGCAGATTTTACAGGGGGCGGGGGTGAATAACAACCCAGAAACGCCCCAAATCCAGTTCCAATGCCTCAAAATCACAGATGAAATGTGTGAGTCTATGGGCACAGTAACATAGATGAAAATGTGCCAAATTATATTTTTTTAAGTATGGATTTTTTTTTAGTGGCTGTTTTTGAAAGGAGAAGAATGGAATTTCCTCAAATCTATGCATGAATGGACAAGTGCATCTGGACAGATGCATCTATAATTTATACTGATCAGTCACTGCAGGTCTCCCCAAGTAAAGCCGAAATGAACACTAATTGTTCTGACGGAAGTAGTGTGCGTGGCATCTGATTGTGAAAGGCAATGAGCCCCTGCCTTGCCTGAGTGCCTACTGTCAACAGCAACCTTGGCATCAGGAGCAAAAAATAAAAAGGCAATCATTCCCAGATGAGGGTGTTGAAGTCATTTGTCAGGAAGGTGGCAAACAGAAGGAATGAATTTCTGAACGAAGTAAAACAACGAGTTCTAATGCAGAGGTCCTGGTGTGTCAGCAAAGCAGGTACAAACCTGAGCTTAGAGTTAACAATCATAGCTTGTTGATAATAAAATTCCTTTGCATTTCTAGTGTGCTTGGGGAGCTATCCTAAGCACCTCTGCTTTATCCGTGTTAAGGCTCAGGGTAAGGAAGTTGGAGACGTGAGAAACGAGTCCAAGATCACATCACCCAGTGAATGACAGAGGAGGGACCGGAATCCGGAATCCCCGGGCTTTAGGTCTTTCTGCAAGAGTATTTCTTTTTTTGTTTTTAAAGATTTTACTTATTTATTTGACAGATAGAGACATAGCGAGAGAGGGAACACAAGCAGGGGGAGTGGGAGAAGGAAAAGCAGGCTTCCTGCCGAGCAGGGAGCCCCATGCGGGGCTCGATGCGGGGCTCGATCCCAGGACCCCGGGATCATGACCTGAGCCGAAGGCAGATGCTTAACGACTGAGCCACCCAGGCGCCCCTCTGCAAGAGCATTTCAAACACACATCAAGCCAGACACAGCCAGGAGATGTGGTTAACTCGAACTGGACTCCGAGAATTCACATGTAGTGCCCTGTGATGACACAGTGTAATTTAGCAGAGAAAATGTCTAAAGACGTGCCACTGGAAGCCCACCAATTCCAGATCTCTAGGACATGCTTTTCTATCAGCCTGTATCATGAAAGCACTTGCATAATAATTTGGGGGTTTTAGCAATTTGATATGGATCATCCATTAAAATAGAAAACAGCAAGCAGACTCAGCTGTGACTGAGAAGTATATTAAAAAAAAAAAATAGCAACAACAAGGATAAGAAAAAAAAAAAAAAAACCTTAAAAAGTCCAGCCAAGTTTACAAAAATGAACTATTGGGACTTCATCAAGATAAAAAGCTTTTGCA